ACTTTTACCTAAGAGATCAAGTGACAGTAGGTCTCCTCAATACACTGTCATTGTCCGTAGTATTCACTAACTTTCTCTTTTGGATGATCCCAACTCTTCCTCTAATTTTCAGTTTTCAAATCTTTGTCCTTCGGCACAATTCCTAGTGCTCTGATAACGAATAGTATGACCGTCATCGTCATATTCCAGTTCCACTGTATTCTCAAGTCCCGGACAAGGTCGAATTATTTGTCTGTTTTTTTTTTCGCTTTCTTTCGGACTAATTTTCTTGGAATGATTTTTTTTCTCAAAGGTTCAAAGAAAATTACACGTTTTATTCACTAATAATAAGTTGCAGAGAGACATGATTGCCAAAAATCATAGTACATGGAAGAAGAAGAATATTGTAATTTAGAATATGGTAAAGAAAGAATGGGAATTATAAAGAAAGAAAACTGAAGATTCTAAAGAAAGAAAGAAAGAAAGAAAAGAAAGAAAGAATAGCCAATCGGGAAAATAAACTTAATGAATCACAGAATAAAACGAGAACTCAGAATGTCTAAGAAGAGATAATCACCGCCCTTGTAAGGTCCATGTGACACTGGTTATATAAGCACCAAATTCAACGACCAGTTCTTTAATTTTTCTACAATTTTTTTTCAGACGGCATCAAACAAGACTATTACATTCACCACTAGACAGTGACATCAGTTTACGGAATACCAGAACAACCAACCTTAAAACAATTGCTACTATCATCAGAACCTATTCGTGAGCTGAAAAGAGGATTTCATTAACAAGGACTGTTGACAATATACCCAGACGTTTTTTCTTCTAAGCTAAGTACACAGACACACACTGTCTCCAAACACTTTTTTCTTAACATCTTTTCCTTATTTATATATTAAATATCTTTAGATAGTAAAGTTTGTTGTGTTTCTTCCTCTTCCAAAACTGTAGAACCATTTAATTTGAGCAGACGCGACTTAGTACAAATCCTCCATAAACGTGGGGTTGTATCCAGGCGTTTTATCATACGAGAAGTAATTGGTGGTTTCAAATGCCGATCAAGTGACAACAAATCTCCTGAATATTTCAGTACCTTTCTTAGAAATGTAGCTTTTTGTGCCTTTGTCTGCGCAGTGTTAATTATTCCTCGAATTTTCCGTTCTTCGAGAATATTTCTGGAGGCTTTTTTGGGAGGTCTTCCCAAGCAGATGTATGCATGAAACATCGGTCTTTATAGATAAATCTCAGTTAGTGAACAGAACCCATATGACTGCCGTTCCTGCCCAGTCATGCCTACATTTGTATTGTTTTTTTTTTTTTTTTTTACTAGTATAGATCGAAGATAATTTTCCTGGTTTATATAGTCAAAAAATAGATGGAAGTTAGCGTTTTCGCTTTGGTGACACAGAGACAGACAACCAGATACACACACACACACATATATATATATAATATATATATATATATATATATATATATATATATTTGGTTGGCTATCCAACCAAATATGTTAGCTCTATCTCTGATATTGAGCGCTTTCTAATAAGTACCGCGCATATAATATATAAATAATTATACATATATATATTTATTTATATTTATATACACTTTTCACACACACACGCACACACACACACACACACACACACACACACACACACACATATATATATATATATATATATATATATATATATATATATAATATTTGTTCTTTAACTGATAACACATACCACTCAATATCAATGGGATGATAAAAATCACCATAAAAACTTTAAAAACTGTTTTATTCCAGGTTTTCCTAAGCTCATTGGTATTACTGATTTTAATGTGAAGAAGATTGAAGAAGAGAGAGAGAGGGGGGAGAGAGGGTGAGTCATATCTGTATGTCTGTCTATACCATTTTAGTCATATCTATCTACCTAGCTAAGCCTGTTTATATCTATCTGATCTATCTGTCTCAGCCTGTTAATATCTATCTATCTATCTATCTATCTATCTATCTATCTATCTATCTATCTATCTATCTATCTCGTGACCTATGTGACAAGACCGTGCCAAAAGGTCTCCATATATCAGTTTCAGCTGAAACGGAAAACAGGGTCCTGCAGGAGACGCGGCGATGACAATGTGATAGAGAACGTATGCTATTTTTGACAGTCGAGCAAGTTTCCGAAAGCGGCTAGGATTTACGTGACCTTCAGGCCAAGCGCGTGTCAACCCCCAGCCGCCGGCGCTCGCACGTACAGATAGAATTGGATAGATGGAAGTGAAAGACGTATGTCATTGCATATCTATGTGGACACAAGGCGTCCGTACTTACATGCGAACAAAGAAACCGATACACATCGGCGCACCTGTCAAAGAAAGATTTATTTTGGCTGGTGTACGAAACAAATTTTTCACGCATGCGCATACACACACGTGCACATATATACTGTAAACTGCGGCGTACAAGTTGAGTTTTCAAGCTGAAAACCCTTTCCAAACCTAGAGGTCGACTTATATGGCGGGTATAAAATGCAAACCTTTACCAACATGGGATATCACTCCTAACAATTACTGTTCATCCAGACTGCTGAAAATATATTTTGGCATAATAACACAGAAATTAATATAAAATAATAAAGCCTTAACACAAACTCAGTAATATTTTAACGCTAGAGTACACACTGTGTCCAACAGCTGATGCCAATGACGGATAATGGGTACTGTGTTTTACAAGAACATACAATACGTAGCAGTACTATCAAAAAAACTACCTGGTGTGATGTGTAATCTAGGGTATTAATATTTTATAGGAGTTGATGTTAATGTGTTTATCGGTTGACCTGGTGAATTTTAAATGTTCGCTAAGTTATACCGATACAATAATATGGTATCCGCCGGTGTGTGTTGTATTTTTCTGGCATCTGTTCTCCAGCCTTCTTCAACTATCTTTTGATCTGGAATCTTCTTGCTCTTTGTATGCGGCACGCTGCATCTTCTTCAAAATGTGCTTCCCTCTAACAAGACTCTTTTTTTGCATTTTTTTTGCATTTTTTTTGCATAGAGGCACTTGAAAGCAGCTGTCGTCGTCCAATCTTTTATGGGTTTAGTCTTAAATCTTCTTTCACAATTATCCTTGGAGTTCTATCCGAAAATTTTCAAAATTAAGTGTCGACTTATATGGTGAATATAAAATGTAAACCTTTATAACCTGTATGTAAACAAGTCGGGCAGCACTTTTAATAATTCTCTGTAAAACAACTTTACTAAAACCTTTGTTTGGTGAATATATTTGGCATATTAACACAGAAATTAATATAAAATAATAACACGCATTCAGTATTATATTAAAGAGCGATTTGTTAAACCTTGTACTCAAACCATGAGCAGATATAGTGTCACGCGTAACAGCTTCTTTTCCTGGATGCATATGTCAACACACTAATGAAATACTAACAATCTCAAAGCTCAATACGGAAGTAGAATAGGCGGAAGTCAAACGTTAGCAAAGAAGCACACGGTTGGGTAATTTTCAATGTATAAAATTAACTCCATGTGATTAAACTTTACCACGGAATAAAACGCATCATATATGATTATTGGTTAAAAAATATACATCGGGTTCTTTCATGATTAGGTTTTCGGGATTACTACTGTATTTATTACTTATTCGAACAATTATGCTTATCTTTCCTTGTTGTAGATGTTATTATAGATGCAGTGATCGACTCACCTGAGATGATGTCAATCAAAGAAGCCAGACGCATCGGCGGGCTGGCCTGAGAGATGTCCTCCCGCTTACCAAGTGCCCGGATGTCAATAGCTGATCACAGCAAGAAAACGCATGATCGACCAAGTTTTGCCTAGGATATGCACACGTGGGGAAAAAATAAAAATAAACAGGAAGACATATAAACACCCACCCAGGAAGGGAGACAAGAAGAGTCTTTTACATCCGCAACAGAATGTAGAGTTCACATTCGCCCCCCCCCCCCCCGGTCGGCGGTAATTGATGAAGACCGTATTTGAATAAAATGTGAAATTATGTCTTGTGTTTTCATTAGTAATGCATGAAGATAATGTGATATAAACGTAGTCTTTCAGCCACGTAACCTCTTGGCTATCTGTTATAATTGTCGATACGGTGTATTTTACGTGTGTTGATTATTGCCTTATATTTGTCCAGGTGATGTCGTTTCATTTTCGACCCTGCTGAATCAGAACGTATAAATTTCACTACCTCATCCAGGGATTGAACTCAGAATCTCAAGACGAGAGTGAATGAATAATTAATAAACGCCTGTATTCATTTCACTTCTGTCCAGAAAGTAAGTCAACTTTTCTTGACAATTCCGCAAATTCACAAAAACAATTAAAACTCGATATAAATTGCTTATTAACTTTTATCTCTCTGTATGTGAATTCATTTCCTGTACAAAACGTTTATTCTACCACTGTAGGCGAAACTGATCCATGTACAAGTGTGTTTGAATTTCATAGTTGTGTTATTATATCCTGCTATGGCAACAGAAAACAACTTTGAGTGAAATTAACAATAAGGATACTGTAACTGAGAGGCCTTGAAAAAGAAATTCAAGTGGAAATTGAAGTAATATTAATAATGCTGTGTGCTGAAGGTTAAAAAGATTAAGAAAATTGATACAAAGGAATCTTAAAACACAATTCTGAATTTAAATCTATTGTTATTACATTGCAAAATAAAGATAGCTAAGAGAAGGACGTCGCAGAATAACTTCACTTCATCACTGATATTTCATTGGCTAAATTGGTAAAGACGACGTCCATGATTAACGCTCTTCTTATTTTTATTATAAAAATGGATAGTTCTTTCTTTTAACGAACGCTTATTCTAGACGTATTGTAGAATAAGGTTTAACAGTGGAGGAAATGAAATTAGCGAGCCAGTTTCGAATTCCGGTTTAGGCAGTTCATGTCCACTTCATACTCTCGAGAAAGGCATGAATCCATTTATTTTACACCAACTATTATATATATTATAGATA